TGGCTACTCGAATTAGGCTTATTTGATCGTGTACACTTAGGTCCGTGAGTCGTGTACCGGTGCGTGTTTTCACGGCTCCTTCAAAGAACCGCAAACACTGGCAGGCCCTGGCGGCCAGGGAGCCTCGAACGCACCCTAAACCCCGGGGAAGAAGAGCGAGAGAGTTGCCAAAGCTTTCCCAATTCGCAATACAGCAGTAGCAGGGTGCTAGCGCCAGTGGCAGTCGTCGTCTAAGTAGTGGCAGTGGCAGTGGCTGAGACAGCAGCAGCAGCTGCAGCAGCAACTGCAGCAGCAACAGCAGCGAGAAGAAAGGAAGGATAGCCACGATGAGGGCTAAGCCGACTACCCTTCTCTCATGTGGCACCATCATGAACGACAAGATCGTAGTAACAACATCTCGAATTCACGCCCCAAGGCCCCAAGACCAGCACGCCTGGTCCCACAGCCTGCAAAGCATCAGCTGAGAGTCTTTTGGTTTGTCCCTGTTACAAGCCACCCCATCCGCAGCACAGCTTGATGGTTTAGGGTTTGATGTACCGCTACTGAGACTGCACATGCAAGCTTTGCAACTGTTATTTTCGAATCGCCTCATGTCGGCAGCTCGGCAACACGCATGAAATGAAACGTTGAGGCCTCGAAATCCTGCCACGACAAACTCCCAGCCGATCGCAAGGAAGTGTAGGGCCAAGATGCCAAAGCCTCTTCCTGCCTCCTGCACCCCTCAGCCTCAACAGCCTAATACAAGGGTCCGACAAGGCAAGTCCTAGTATCCCTTTATGGTCCCTATTTATCTACATACAGACAATTTGCAGGTAGATTATACTAGTATACTCTACCTGCAAACGGCAAACCCTACACTAATAGTCAAGGACACTAACTTGCGCCCTTGAAGAAGCCCGTCTGATTCCCCCCTACTCTGGCCACAGCAAGTTTGTTGTTCTCACGATGAAGGCCCCCAGTTTAAGCAACCCCGGGATCGCACCCTCAACCCTACAACCCAAAACACCCCAAAAATCCTAAAACCCAAAACCCAAAACCCTTGTAAAACCCTGAAGAAGAAGAAGAAGCCCAGAGCCGGCTGCAGGCCGATCCTGCGCCGGCACCGACAGAGCCCGAGGCGTGGAAGCGAGGCTTTAGGCTTTAGGGCCTTTAGGGCCTTGAGGGTGTCAGTACGGTTGATGATATGAATCCTGGACTCCTCACAATAAGGACTATACCGCATTTCTCACAGTTTAGGGCCCTCAAGGAAATGCAGGATTGACTATCATCAACAGTAGTTCAGGGTCCAGGGGGGCTCTGGAGATCGGTTTGCTTTCGGAGCTTCCTTGCAGGAGCCATGCAAGGACTCCGGACCGTAGTTCAATTACCCTTCTCTTACAAACACACACACACACACGTTCACACTGAACTAGCTAGTGGATAAGATACATGCCAGATAACCTTCCAACAGTCCTTTAGAACCTTTCCTTACAAATTAGTCTTCGGCAGTCTTGCCCCTGGTAGCGTTGGGGGGAATTCAGTTAAGTTAGCCGTCGAGTAAACTGAGACTTCGTTTAACTACTATGCTAGCCTGAATAGCGCAGGGTGTCGGATTGTTTGAGGTGGAATGTAGACTTGTGGGGTCGCAGGGCCACTGGTTACTCGTAGCATTTCTTGGGACCAGGACTCAGACGTTTTGGTTGTGTCTGTAGACGTTGTGTCAATCAACTCTCCAGAGAGGTTTGGAGCCTGCGGGCACCCTGTAAAGCCATGCGAAGAAATCCGACAAGTGCCGAGTTAAACCCCATAATGCAGGTTTTTCAGACACCCTCAAGCCTCGAGAGCTACCGAGCAGCAATTCGTCGTCTCTACCCGAGCGCTTTGGGGTGGTCAGTACTGAACCCACTGCAAAAGAAGCACCTTAGCAGAACCTAAGCCCACGTTTTGGAATCTCATCCCAGGGCCCATCAACCAAGCATCTCTTCCTGCTGGCTCGGTCCGTGCCCCATGATGGGTCTCAAATTTTAGGGTTACTAGGGTGAGGTCGGCGTCCACAGCAGTCGCAAAGAGCTGCGATGCAGAAATGTAGGCGACCCGGGACCCGTTCTAGAAATTTGAGGAACCCTCCCACAGTGCCAGCAGGGACCGCGGGAATACCCTAAAAATCGGGATTCGAAAAGCAAAAGTGCAGTAATAAATAACAATAGTATTAACAATTACGACAAGAAGAAGAATACCAAGAATATTTTTCAGAGGCGCGCCCCACTTTCCCCGCATGGCAAAACGGCAGACAGGCGCTAATCGACAAGGGACCTGAAACTCCAACATCAGCTTATGGCCTGTATCTTGGGTCCTTTCGGGTTCCTGTCCGTAGTCATATTTCGCAGTAGCTCGCATCATCATCCGATTCACAGTGTATTGCCTCACGGAAAACCCGTGGCATGACTCACTTCACTACAGTTTTGAGCTAGTACTTCGTGATACCTTGAGACTTGGGGTGAGCTTTCCCGCACAGTTTTAGGATCGGGGCTGTTGTTTTGAGGAGGGTAGGACAGAGTTGGGTTCAATGCACACATTTGGCCTCCTTCTGAAGCCAGCACTATCCGTTCTTTCCGCCTGTGCCATGTGCCTTTCGACAGCCAAGCTTAATTTCGACCGGTTGCCACGAACCTGCGTCTACTGCTCAGGCAGCAGAACTGGGAGGAAGCTCGAAATGTTCTCCAGGCAGGAGTTTTGAGAATGGCCACAAAGTTACTCGTCGTTGCCGGGAAGGCATAGTCTCTTTGCCCGAAGGTTCCTGATGGGGTTTACACTGACTGTTACTGCGAAGGTGCCTCGCCGGCTAGTTTCGGTCTGCTAAACTCACACCTGCCGCTCCGAGACCTGCTCATCGGAGACTCCTCGTAAGGATAATAAGAAGTGTTCTTGATACGAAAAATACGAATAATGATGATAATTCGTAATTAAAAATAGCGATAACAACAACGATAAAAAAAAGTCGTATGGATTTCTTCGGCAGCCGGCGGCGATCTTGCACGAACATAACCCAAAACCCTAAACCCTAAACCATGGTAAGCAATCGGAGCCCTGCGAGTGGCTGCGGCTGGCACAGGAGACGTCAAATTTGATATGGTAGGTTTAAAAGCAATTCCGTTCTCTAGCTGAATATAAGACCTGACTCTAATCGCATGTTGGGCCCTCAGCCCCAAACCCTAGACCCAAAAAAATAAACCCCTAAAGCAGCACTCGGGGAACTGCTTGATTTCATCTGCTCCTTGTCAGGCAAACCCCGAGATGTGGCCCGCTGTTGACGAGGTGGGGAAGCATACCCACCTACCCCCGCCGGCTGAACCCTGTCGGCACCCAAAATAAACCCCGCGTAAATGTCGCAGAACTTTGGACCGCGAAGTCCCCAGATCCCGATCCGAACTGCGAAAAGGACGGCCACAGCCTCCTCCACTGGGCTGCGCTGGTGGGCCAGAAGGCGTCGGCAGCTTTTGGCGGCGGATTTCGGGTGCTCTCTGTCGGCTTGCTCGGAGCTTCTCTGCATGTCCTCCAGTCTGCTCGAGGATTGACAGGACTGAGACAGAGCCGGAATTCCTGGAGCCCTGAAGCCGCTGCGCTCGGAAGGACTTCGTGCAAACGTGTCTCGAGCACGGCACGCCCGCAGAAAGCTCAGACTTGCTGAGCTTGGCCACGAAGTTCAGAGATTGCTGTTATCATGGGACGTCTTCCTGCACGCTGCTGCTTAATGTCCCGAACTGCCATCACTAGGATTGCAAGCCCGTCAGACAGGATGGCAGGCACCAACTCTAGCCGAGTGATTCGTACTACTATTCCTTGCGGCTCCTCGTAATCTAGGCCCAAAACTGACCACGACGGCAGCATCCGGTCAAAGCCAGAATCCTCGTCCGACGCGCTGAACCCACGAAGTCCACTCCAACCTTGGCCTGCGTAGACCCCCGCCAAAGCAGCAGCCGAATCCTGAACCCGAAAGGGTGAGCCCCCAGAGACCCAAAACCCCTTAATTGAAGAATATATTATATACCTTAATCATGTAAGGGATCCTATTAGAATGTTTATGGTATATATTCGTGAATAAGGATCTTTGGAGCCTCTGGGTCCGAGGTCGACATCTGCGCAAACAACAAGCAGACACCCTTGATGCGCCTTGCTTGCACGAGGGCCAGGCGGGACTGTGACAGCAGACCGCTGATTTATGGGACTCATGAACCTTTCTGGAGGTGAAATTGGGGCAATAGCTTCCCTTGCTGCAGGCATGTCTGGCTCCGTGAACACTGAAGCACTGAACCTCAAAAGCAAGTCAAAACACCAAGGTGGGCAGTGCTTCGTGGTCACGTGGTGGTTGCCAGGCAGCTCCTGGACTACAAGGCTCAACGGGTCGCTTGCATCATCTCGTGTGATGCCACCCACACTGCCCACGCTTGTTTCAGATTGTAAGTCTAGTCTAGTACTAAAGCATCCTACATTAAGATATGTTACACAGAGAGCAGGCTCTATTTACATTTCTACATTTGTTCTACATCGGCACGGTGGTCTCAAGCATCTTGTCATCAGGCTGTCACTCCATGTTTCGTCCTGTCACACTTTTCCTTCGTCTTCAGTCAGTTTCCTGCTGAGTCTGCGTAGGTTGCCGACCATCGCACCCAGTGCCCGATGTTACAAGCCTGTAAGATGCCGTGAGGCGCGTCAGATGTGCAATCAGGCTCTCCCTCCCTTCAAAACCATGGAAGAAAACATTTTGAGACCGCGGCTCGGCACCTGCTCTCAGGCCTCTCTGGCTTCCAAGGACTCACTGGGCGCCACGGCTTTGACCATTGCGGTGCAGCATCGGTGCACTCCCCAGCTGTATCCGTGAGTGCTTGTCAAGCCTCCGACTCCATTGGTTTCGCGGACCGGGCACCCTCCTTTGTTCAAAAGCTTTGCATGTACACTTGCAGGGTAAGATTCGGTATCCTAGTCGAAAGCCCTGAAGTTCTCTCTTCAGGTCCTACCCCAGCATGCTGCTGCTGATGCACCGGGGAAGCGACTTTCAGGCTCAGATGATGGCAGACAGCCGGAAGCTCAGTCCCCCGTGGGTTCTTCGAGGTTTCCACCGGCTCCACCGGCACAAATCCCTTCTTTTGGGGATTGGGAGATGCCCTGAACCCTTAAACCCTAAACCCGAACCCTTAAACTGCGTGGCGGAGGTGACAAGAACGGCTGCTCCGTGGCCCACTGGGCAGCTTACAAGGCCGGGAAAAGACCAGCCCCGCCCACACTGGGGAACTTAGGAGACAGCCTAGGGTTTAGGGTTTAGCCCATAGGCCAGTACCCTCAAGAACCTACCTTTTTAGGCTTCCTTATTGTTCTTCGTATAAGTCCTTAAGAAGGTAGGTTCTTTGGGGCTAAGGTAGACCATGACCAGTCTGTGCGTGGTTGTCACTGCAATAGGTGAGGCCAGTCTTGCTCTTGGGAACTTGCTGCAGTTGAACTCGGAAATGTTCATGGGTTTGCGGCTGGAACATGTTCCAGCACGAGCAAATTGTTCTATCAGCCTGAGTAGCCATGCAGCACATGCAAAACTACACTCGCCGTGCCCCCACCACTTGGCGAACGTCTTGTCCGACCTCTCCCCTCTCCATCCTCTCTGAAAGCCTTGATTTTCCGAAGCTTGCGGTAACCCGGAACCTGTAGCCAGTCTTCCTGGCTCAGGGAGATCTGACTGCCTTGAAGCTTCTGCACTACTTCAAGGCTGCCTGGGGTTCGAGTTAAGGGCTGGACGTTCGACCACAAGTTGAGGGTCAGGCGCTCCCGCAGATGTGGTCAACCATGGGGCATATTACTTGGTTTAGCCAGGCTTCGATATTTCGCTTCACTTTGTGGAAATAGGGCGCGTGGACTTCTTGATGTTGCTGTTGGAAGAGCGGTCGAGCTGGGCTTGACTCGACCTCAACATGGAGCCTTGAAACACCCAACGCCTGATAGGATTTGAGAGGCATCACCCAAAGCCGTCCCGCGGACCCGTCATGAAGTGGTCGAGACGTGGCAGTCACTTCTCAGCAGTGGAACCCTGAACATGAATACGTAAAGCTCCATTCCTACCAGGCCGATCTCCAAGCGCTGGACAGCGCAAAGATGCCCTTCGCTCACACTGCGGTGATAAGACCTCAACATGAGGTGTTGGGCTATCCGAGGTGTGGGTAGGGGTGGGAAAGAGCGGTGCAGGCTCTTCCAACTGCGTTCGTTTTAGAGGTGCCTTACATTGCAATTCGGGGGTCGGAGATGCACCCCAGCCTTACAGCCAGTCGAGAGAGAGAGAGTGCAAAATTCCACTATACAATCCAGACAGCGAGAGCAATCTAACACGAGATCAATCCCTTTCCACAATCACACAATCACGAACACTTCTTTATGCAACCAGGCAGTCCGTCCAGTCGGTCTTGAGCCAATGCCATTC